GTTGAGGCTCTTGTTGCTTTTTTCCTTCATTGAGGAATTACTTATCAGCTACTGTTTCATAATTGATCAGCAATTATCCTTGACACTTTTATCGCGGGAGCTGTCTTTAAATTTATATAACATGCCTGACTTTTCCCACTTCCAACTAAAATGTTCAGATAACGCTGACCTTGCTGGGTTGATGTGAGATACTCGACTTCCTACAGTACCAATAATACGGTAACCCAGCGTCCACAAACCGAAACAAATCGCCAAAACACCAAACAGCAGCACGTAAATGGGAACCTGCAATGATATGGTCACACTAATCACGTTCGCACGGATGTGGGAATAATGCAGATTATTATACTTTTGTGCTGAAGAAGAAAGAATAACACTCGTTTCAAATGAAAATATCTCACGAAGAACGCATCCTACACTATGTCCAAATAAAGTGCGCGCAGCCACGCTTACTCCATCGCTGGGATGTGGAGAGTATGTATTTTCATACACTCACCTCAGTTTCCTGTTTAGCATTCTGGTCCTTGTACACAGAAACCAATGTGGCAATTGGAGCGATGGCATTACTGAAAAATTTTCATTGAACCCTTACGATTGCGGCCGTAACAGAGATATGAGCATGTACAGTCCTCATCATTGCGGACCGGTGGGGCGTGGCAGTGCGGCTGCATTTGGTGCGGTTTGGCAAAGTCGTTCTGCACCAGTTTTTGAAGCGAACAAGTGCATTACTGTATAATATCCTTCGTATTACTCGTTTTCTACCACTTTTTGTCGCATACGCGTTGCAACAAAAAGGCTGAGAACGGCTTCAACAGTGTGCGCACTCCTTCTCGGCCGACACGCCCCACCGGTCCGCAATGATGAGGACTGTACGAACAGCGAAATATTAAGAACTAGCACCTTTGAGAGTATTTGCATAATTAAATAAACAAACTGAAGAACATCCATGAAACAACATGGACGTATCAAAATGCGATTTCAAAGTGGGCCGCGGATCTCCAACCAATATTGAACTTTCTCTCGTGTGCTCACCATCAGAGACGAATTCTACTAATTAGCAATCACTTGAAAAGTTTAGCTCCCTTCTACATAGTACCCCTAGCACGGTACCCATATCTGACAAATACTCGAAATCCCAGAGATGGGGTAGGCGTGGCTGCATGCTTCAACTTAACCTGGAGGAGTCTATGCTTCTGGTGAAATATTTTCATCTTGACACACTTGTTGTCGTGTCTCTGTCCAATACCGAATAAGATGACAGTTGCCCCAGACTGGAATATTCCACCAGTAACCAATTCCGTGCCATGTCCAAATGCCACACCTACTCTGGCTCAGGGATAAGGAGTGTATCTTGTATCGAATATCCCTGCAGCTCCGGGGCAAGCAAGCTAAGAACGGTGGAAGACCTGCTTGTCTGTTCCGACAAAACCCAAGCCGAGATTCCACTGCGGCCGCTCGTGGAGTAGTGAGAGTTCATTTCTTTTAGACTCCAGTTGAAAAGAGATAGAGAAGCTGCCTAACTGACAATGTTTATAAAATATATCGCTCTGGGAGGTAATGGTGATGTTAGCTTATGGGCGTCTTTTGTGCCTGCTGCCACAAGACATCATCTTTATAAAAACCTATCGCTTAAAGAGGCGGAATGTGCAGTGACAAGTGGCGCGCTCACCACTCGCGCGGTCTCGGGGTTCAAACCGGTCGACATCCGCCAAGGCTCACCAAGGCTTCTACCCTCCAAAGACGGTGAAGTGATATCAGGTTTGTCCGGGAGGATGAAACAGTGACTTGTGCAGCTGGGCTCCTGCAAGTCTTTGTATGGGCTACATCGCATTCAATAAAAGAGTGCGATTCTGAACGGAAGTAAAATTTGTCCCGCCTCCCAAGGATTGATCAACGGCAAAAGACTTTATCCTTTATCGCACGAAGTAGTTGATTCGTGCTCGCGTGTACCCACATACCTGAGGGTAGGCTGCCACGTTGTGGACAATTTCCACAAAATACGACCCTCCCCTCCCGAAATTTTCCTTTTTTCTATCTAGTACGGTTCACTCTCCTATCCTACTTGCGAGCATGACAACGTTCCAAAAATTTCGCCGTCGAGCAGGGTGAGTTGGGGGTGGCTTTTTTACTTTTTTTCCGCGACCTCCGCGTCAACCACCAGAAATAGAAAGAAATAGAAATTTCGTTGTCCGTCCGCTTAACTAGGAAAAACACATACAGTGCATGTGACGGCAAAATCCCACAATCAAAAAAAAATTATTCTCATGGCAAGTGTGACAATATGACCCTTATCTTCGGCGTCTGAATATAACCCCACTGTTTTATACTACGGATGGTAAGCGCTGGAATGCATAGAAAAACAGGTATTTTTGTGTAGCATCTCCTAGCCCACCCACCTCCTGGAGGAAAGCGATCGACATTGAGGAGGAAAGCGATCGACACTGGGATGCTAGTTTTGCGAAATCTGCAGAAAGAAACAGCTTGTCGACCGGCGACGGGAGGAGGGTGGCGCATTTTGCACCTTCACTGTTTCGGTACTTCCGGTTTACAATTCTCACTCACGTCACGTCAACTGGCTACGCAAGCGTGCTGTGCCGCGACTCGGTGAATGGACAGACCCGCCTTAGTGCTTTGATTCCACGAATATAATTGAGTATAGATGTACCTCACGTCGTTGGCTCCAATTGCAAAGCCCGCAAAGCATGCAGTGAAAATTTGGATCCAAGAAAAAAGTTGGATTGTTTTTTCGTCGTCAACTCGGTCCACATTTGGCAACAGTCTCTTCATACAGAGGCATATTCCTTAATACAATTTTATTTGAAAATTTTTATCGGTAGCGCGAATAAGCGTATAAGAGGGTAGTGTAGCAAAAACTGAGGTTCCCTGGGAATAGACTGCTGGGGTTTCCACTCATATCGCAAAGAAAAAAGAGAAAAGCACCTAATAGGCGGGATACGTTTCCGAATAGAAAATAGCGGCGTCATTACGACCACCAAAAGAAGGACGACAGTACGATCCCTCTCACAGCCTACCTGTCAGCCTACCGAATTTTTCCCAAACGGGGAGGAGAGGACAGAAACCTCAAGCAACCATCACAAATAGCGGGTATGTGTCAAGAGAATCGTAATTCGCCGCGCCAGTGGGCGCCGCCTGCGACGTCGCGCCTGCTTATGACGGCGATTCGGTGGTATGGTTGAGCATAGACAGTGTGTGAACAAAAAAATAGGCATAAATGTCTACCGTGTCCTTGTTCACATGAAGTTCGATGCTCCAATCAAAAGGGTAGTGCAAATCAAGGAAACGTCACGCCCATGACGCGCGCGACCGAGCAGCACTTTACGATTCTCTTGTCCGTCTCCCCACTAATAGCAAGGCTGCTGCGTTTTCAACTGGGAAAGTGGCGAAAGGAATCGACAATCGCAAAAGTTTTGAGAGCGCAAATGCGAAGCCTCTCCTCCAATAACCAAATACACCCCAACTGGATCGCAGAGGATGTACGTCGGAAGTCGATTGCGCTCGTGACCAGTAAACCCAAATCTTACAAAATAAGAAAAAGGTGTGAAAAAGTTTTTAAAAAGGTGAACTTTATTAGCCGCAAAGTTTGGTGTCACGCAACCCGTGCACTTGCCAAGGCGCGAACTATTGAGAAAAACAGAAAAACCTTACTTGTGAATAGATCCTGTTCAGAATCACAAACACTAGATTGGCTTGGTGTATAGAGCTGCACAGTTTTGAAAGAGCTGGCACGGACACTGTCGAAATCGACAGCTGTGGAAGCTGTAATATTCGAATTAAAGGCGTCTTCTGTCCGAAAAAAAATGTTCCGGGAAGTTCCGTTCCTTGCCTCTTCTGATGACGAGCGACCTACATATGACCCATAAGAGGCGTCTCTAAACCCTACTAATCTTCTGGTGAGGCATTTCAAAAAAAGGGACGGCTCTTCTACTAAGTGGGGGGAGCTTGTTACAGTGGGCCGTGCTTCCTGTAGTGTAAAAATGCGAAAGTTTCGAAGAAATATCAAAATGTTGCAAAGATATGCAAAAGTGTGCGCGGTTGAATGTGGGGGGGGGGCGGGGGCTTGGCGGGCATAAATGCACGCTTTAAGTACCTTCCTTATGTGACAAAAAAAGTTTGAAAATTCAAATTATGAAACAAATTCGTTGGAAATTGGGCGGAGTTGCACAAGCGTCGATGTACACATTACTTCCCAATTAGCGTGTGCGGGCGAAATAAGAAAAATGCGAAAAAAAACTACAGAAACAGACGTGATAAAATAAAATCCCAAAATCATGTCCATGAGCCGAAATGTCGGGCCTTGCTGTTCGGGGGAGCCTGCAGATAGTGCATAGTGTACGTGTTTAAGTAAGTCTTGAAGGTGATTGAAAATCTTGAATTATTGGGTTGACACATAAGTAATGCGCTTTTTTTTCAATCAAAAAATTTGTTTCCAGTGCAAAAAGCTGCAATGTTTTGCAAGCAGTCTTGATATCATCTGATAAGAAACTTCTCGTAGTAAAGAATATCAAAACAGCTTCAGGTTGAGGGAATAATTTTTGTGAATTTTTTTGCGTTGCCAAGCTGAACCGTGAAGGTCGTCGCGAAAATTAGCACCTTCGACAACTGCCTCTATTTACGTTCTACTCGAAGTGCTAAAATCGCTTGAGCTACTCCATACATTTGGAAAAGGTTGAGCTAGAAGTCTCTCAGCAGGGCATCGCAATAGGACGCTTATGGAATTAATTTCAAGAATTTCAAAGTTGGCAACCTTCACCTCGCCGATATTGGGCAGGCTCACGTCTGTTCCACCTGAAATTTTATGCTAATATTTGAATGTTTCGCTGATATGTTTTGCATGTTCTGATAGCAAATTTCGTGCTCTATAACACTGCTATAGAAATCTGTTCTCCAGAGCTGTTTACTTTCTGTTAAAGGCAGCGTCCGCGATCAACCAAAGTGAAAAAACCCTCCATTGAAAACGAACGCGGAGTCCGCAATCACAGCAGAAATCCCACTCTTGCGGCTCGAAATCGATTGGTTGACGAGGGCGGAGTCAACAACGCTGAGCTGACGCCTCCTTTCCTGTTAATCCCGCCCCGATTGGTTAACAGTGTCCAAATGCTTGCTGGCATTGATATACGCTGAATTCTAGAGTTCCGAGGCGGCGACGTGTATTGGAGAACTCACCAGAAGTTTGCGAAACTCGTCCACATGCCTTAAATTTCATAGGGTCTTATTTCACGCTCTTCCACACCTTTTTCCTGCTTTTTTTGATTAGTGCTTCATTGGCCACCTGTTCTAGCAAATGTGACCCCTGAAACCTGCCAAAGTCCATCGCGGGCGCTGTCTTTAAGTGTTTCAGGTTATCGATAGGGAACCGTTGAGGTCGCATGAAGAAAATAGACGTTCCCGACTTCTTCTCCTTTCCGCTTTTTCACGAAGCTTCAAAGCCCCCGGAGCGGCCTCAACTAGATTCGCGCAATGGTACGAGATAAAGCACTGAGCAAACAGATTAGTACTTACGACGGCTCACAATTGATTCTGAAAAAAGCACAACCGACAACCTTGTTTCGGCGATTTTTTTTTACGGAATTTTTTTTTTGGTTTCCGTAGTAAATTTTCAAACACAGTGTTCACACACTACAGAAAACATAGTGGATATTCTACAATAAATAGTATATTCCCCATTGTTTCTTACAACCTCCTCCACCGATCAGCCAGCTGTTCAATGCCTTCTCGGTAAAAATCCTGTGGCCGCGACTCGAAGAAGGAATCTAACCTGAAAAACAAGGAAATCAAACTATTTCAAAGCACCGCAACTGTTATAGAGCACGAAATTTGCTATCAGAGCATACAAAACACATTAGCGAAACATTCAACTATTAGCATAAAATTCGTGGAAATCGGGAACGCTAATTCTCATCGACCTCACGTTCCGTAATGATAACCTGAAATTAACAGAAAGTCAAACACCTCTGGAAAACAGATTTTCATTGCAGTGTTATAGAGCACGAAATTTGCTATCAGAACATGCTAAACATATCAGCAACATTCAACTATTAGCATGAAATTTCAGGTGGAACAGACGTGAGCCTGCCCAATATCGGCGAGGTGAAGGTTGCCAACTTTGAAATTCTTGAAATTAGTTCCAAAGCGTCCTATTGAGATTCCCTTGCTGAGACTTCTACCTCAACCTTTTCAAATGTATGAGCCAGCTTAAGCGATTTTAGCACTTCGAGTAGACGTAAATAGAGGCAGTTGTCGAAAGATGCTAATTTTCGCCGACTTCACTTCCAACTTCAACGACTAAAAAATTCACAAAAACTATATCCTCAACCAAAGCTTTTTTGATATTCTTATACTACGAGAAGTTTCCTATCAGATGATATGAAGATTGCTTGCAAACATTTCACTTTTGGAACAAAATTTTCAATTGAAAAAAAACGCCCCATTACTTATGTGCCATTACTTATGTCGCCAACCCAATAAAATCGGAAAATGGTATATATTTTGGTTGCAACACCAGGAGTTTCCACTCCCAAGCGACGTCAGGCGTCGGCTGTCCTTGAACATTTCGAATTTCTGTCGCGTCATATTTACGTCTCGGTTATCACGAGGCGCGAGAAAAAAAAACTTTGGAACAAGCTTTGAAAAGGCATTTTTAAAGCTAGCGTTTTGTTCTGTACTATTTAATCTCTTCTTATACACCATTATTAGGGTCAGAAGTTAAGGATATAATTTTACAATACAACAACATTGAAATTTTGGTTAGGCGGAGACAGTGTAGCGGGCAAGTGGCCTTGCTTACCAAAAGCGTGGTCTGGGGTTCAAAGCCCGGAGCGGCTCCCGCCTGAACTAACCGAGTTTTTCGTGGAAAGCCATTCACTGCAAGGAGATAAAAAAGTCGACTCCTACATTGGCAGCCTCAGACTGTATGTTCCAAGCAACAGCACTCTCAATAGAGGAATTTGGACTCAGGTGATAGAGCTCGAATCTATGTTTCTTTTCAACTTACATAAACTTTCAAGCGCAAAATACGTCAGTAGGTTACTCATCTAGAACATCATCAAGTTTGAAGGGGACTTACCCTGAATTTTACGCCACAATCTTGGCTTCACTAAAAACTGGACCAACAACGCAGCAATTGAGGCGATTCCAATTGAGATCAGTACAGCTCCCCAGAATGGGATACGGTCGAAGTGGAGGACTGAAATCAGAATCAATATTCGGACGTTTTAACAACTTAAAGCGGAAGCAAGACCAAGAACCAGAAAAACTCACGTTTGGATCCGTCCCATGTGACCATCAAAACATTGAAGGCGATCACGACAAAGTAAAACACTGGCAGTGAGCGAAGACCACACTCGAACGGATGATTCTGAAAAAACATATGAATGCTCGCGGCGGAGCTGTTTCGTTGGGACGGCCAAGCACTTGATCCCACTTTGGGCGTTCGGAATGAATTTAGAGCGCACGCATAGCTCAACAACAGAGCCGTCAAGATAGGGATGAAGGAGAGCCTGCACAAGAATCAGTCCCGGAGGTCCACGAGAGTGGCACTTCTTCTCATGCCAGCGCTACAGCCATCGTTGTGTGATAACAAGCATAGAGGGGGTCGCCACTTGGCCGGGGAGGGTGGTCAGTATTTGTTCCCCTGTTGGGCGAGGGCGAGCTCGTATGCACCTCTGAGAGAAATGTGCCGCGTTGACCAAATTTTTCCCGGTTGTCCGTTTCTTGTTGGCTATTAGCCCCCCCTCCCACCGGCCAGAAAAGTTGTGGGTGAAAAAAGTGGAAAAAAAGTGGTAGGGAGGAAAGTGGTAGGTAGGTGTTTGGGAAGTGGGGGGAGAGTCGTACCGAGACCTCCTGTCGAAGGGGGGGGGGGAATATGACACTACTGCGACTCGAGTGGCGCAGGCGCAGGGAAAGTCGACGCTCGGAGAGATTTGCTACGTTGAAGGGTAGGGTTTTGGTGGGAGTGCTGCGTACGTCACCCCTTTTGCAATACTTATTTGGCCATTCTCGGGCACATCGTTGTTGGGGATTCACCAACAAGGGTCGTATTTGTTCGCTTGGGAGGGGGATTATATTTCCTTTCTGACCTAGAAAGTTGCTGGCTCTTTGACTTTTCATGATTCGTGATTTTTCCTGTGTCATGTGTAAAATATACCCCTCCCTCTCCAAGCTCGACAGCTCAATGAGGAGGATCAGGCAGGGGGAGGAGCGGGTTCGTACCAACCCAATGCAGGAAGGGGAGGTCGTACGGACTCGACCAAAAGGATCCCCAACCCGGCCGAAGCGAAATCTTATTCGGCAATATAGCGTAAATGTGTGGTACATGGCGCAATCTTGAAGAGTGGAGGTATAGAATAAGTGATTGTCCCGCTCGGAAAGCAAGGTGTCAGGTTGACCTCACTGAATGATTCATCGAAAGAGTATGTTCTTTTGTTTCTTCATTCTGTTTTTATTTCTTTCTACTTCTCTTTTGCTTGCGTGAGAAGGGAGAGAGATTTCTCTTCACATGAAGGTCTTTTCAGAGTAAATAATAACGGTAATAGAAAAAGGAATTCACCCGTCGAAGTACGGCAATGTCCACGATAAGGTAAAGAACACCTGAGATTAGTCCCGAAAGCGCTGGCGAGAGGAACCATGAAGCAACTGCAATGATCATTGCTTCGATTTTATTCTGCTTTCACAAAAGGGAAAGTTATGAAAACTTTGAAGAAATCATATTGCTTAATCAAAGGATATTATAACACGTGAGCATTCCAAGCTCTGTCGTCTCTTCTTATGAACGAAGGCAAAATTTGAAAAGCAAACGAACGGTGAACTGTGCCTAATATGTATGGATTGCAGGTTTTCTATTATGTCCAGCCCCACTTTCAGTTTCCGAGCAACGACAAATTTCAAAATTTAGGGAGGCCTCACAGGATCTCAATTTCTGCCCTTTCGAGCACAACATTATTATGGAGATTTGTGGGCAAATCTGTTTGTACTGGAATCACGTAGTCATGGGGAAACCTCATGTTTTTCCGTACGCATGAGATTAGTTGAACTGGTTTGCATCAGGGGAAGAAGACAGTTAACGTTAGCTCACCAATTCGATAGATTTCCTCCCAGTTCACGCCTTCTGTTCCACGCAATACCAGTGTGAAGCCCAGCGTCGCCCCAACCATGGCATGAGTCGTTGAAACTGGCATCGAGAGGGCAGTTGTGATGATTAGCCATCCAGCGGTACCTGAATTTCCAAATAGTCACGAATACCATCAACAGAACAGATGACCACTTCATGTCAACCCTAGATCAAGACTGCTAGCAGACAAAGATTTCACTACCCTGACCCATGCACCCAGTTCTTGGAAATTCGACGGTATCTTGGAATTTGGGGAGGGCAAGGGGTGGGGGGGGAGATATTTCCTTCCTGACCTTCTGAAGAAGGTTGCCTAACTTTTCGTGATGGGGTATTTCTTCTTATCTTTCTTAAGAAAGGTTGCTGACTTTTACATGATTTTCCGTTTCATTGTACATATTGGCGGTTGAAGCAGAATTTTCTGGGTGGGAGTTTTCTTGGGAAACTTCGGAAAAATATGTAGGAGTTGCGGAAAATCCGGCATTATGTAGACATGGGTTCGTATTCCTCGCAGACGGCTCATGAGGAGGGACGCAGAGGGAGGTACCAGCTCTTTAAAAAGGAAGGGGGGTCGACGAACTCGACCCAAATACTAAGACGTGTCCGCTGGTCCGAACGCCTGTCCGACTATAATACAACAGTTGCTCAAGATAGGGGAAATCGGTGTGGAGATGATGACGAGCCCCACTCTTCTACGGTGTCTAGAACATGCTGCTGTCGGTCGTGCTAGACAATTGCAAAAAGGCGATGTTATTTTTATGGTTCGGAAACAAGAAAGAACCCATTTAATAAACTTCAGTAACATGTCCTAGTATAGCCACCTGACCGAGCATCAATTCTCGAGGATTATTGTAGTATTCCGTAAGATCCACCACTCCTTTCCGCATCGTATCAGTTACAGACCAACCTTGAAATGTGATTTCATGTTCGTCTATCTTGCGACGGAAACTTCAACAGGGAAGTAAGTATCGGAAAATGGAAAGATTGCTTGACATAACAAGAAAGCTCCGAGAGTGATGAATATTTGAGCAAATAGTAAGCTAGAATAAAATAACCATTCTGTAAAAATGAAAATTCATATGCAGAAGTTTACGTATTATGTTAAAAATGGCAGAAAAACATTAGCTTTGTTCTAAGATTTAGTTGAATTCGATTTTTTTTCATGCTATTTATATGGGATGAGCAGGGCCTACAATTCCGCCCTGGCGAACCGATAAAGGAAGCATAGTGGCAGTCGTGGCTACGATCATACGACGAGCATGAAATGTGCCCTCAAATTTTCATCAAGAAAAAGGTCCAGCCTTTGTGAAGGACTCTCATACTAATAAGAAACATAAAATTATTTCTTCCAGCTCAGCGGCTCACCTGTATGATAGTGACAACACCACTTCCAACAGATGTTCCGAACGTATTCGACACATCGTTGGCCCCGAGTCCTGCTCCAAGCAGGAACGCCATAATGATACCCACAATCAGCACCCATAACACGGAAGACTGAAAAAGGCGCAATTTGTGGAAGAAGAGAAAGAAATCAGAATTGCAGATTGTTGCAACAGAAAATAAAAATAAGAATATAAGAAATAATGAGGGGTGTCAGGTTCATGCTACGACAAATTCATAGGCAACTGAATGTGGTTTGGGAGACGGCGTAGGCGCGCAGACAGTTATTTTACACCTTATGTTTTTACGTATGGTTCCGCTACAGCGGGATTCCATTGAATTTCCTTGTACTAGTGGTGTAGCAGGTCTCCACTGCACCCAGCATCTCCATGACACTCCAGTGCGATTGTAATTTTGGACGAGTTAGTGCGACCCCGATTTGGTGCATTCACATATTATTTCCACGGAATTATTCCTCAAACCGCTTCCTCCTTTTCACTGTTATTTCTGCGCCTGTTGTTGATCATGGAATATTTATAACTTCATTTTATCTTGATTTCGACACCGTACATTATCAGGCTGCGTTCAGACTTCGCGATGAGGCACGTCGATATACGTTACTTGTGAACGTATGTCTAATCATTGATATGTTAGTTATTTTCATTTTGATTTTCTGTGGTCAAT